GAGATCAATCAAATAATTGGCAGCACCAGCTTTCATTTTTTTCCAGATACTGGCTTCTGCATCTGCAGTAGAAAGTTCCAGTAACCAGAAATGTTACAAACTACTCTGCTGAAACTAGAGAAAGTTATCTTACAGTGACAGAGGGAAGCTGTGTGACTGTAAATAGTTCCTTAATTTCTAAACTTTCAGCTTGAGAAAAATTGGATTTGACTTGAGCTCTCAAAAAACCAATAAAGATACCTGCCATTTTCCTTCCCTGTCAGACTGAGCTCAAATTCAGGTAAAAGAGTTGGAGATTATTATTGTTTCCATAACCTGGTTCTCTCTTCTGCCTTTTCAAAAAATGAGCAAGTGGAAAATCTCTGAAGAAAAGTGAAGAAACAAGTAAGCACTTGAAAAATTTATCACTAATTGCTATGGCCAATCCAGATCTTCAACAAAGCTTTGGTTATGGTCTTTTCTGATAGAACTAGAAATTCTGTAACCATGAGGGGGTCCATGTTATTAGAATATATCTACTTTTTGGACATGGATGTTATGTTCTGTTGGTCACACATGGCATTTATATTGGCTCTTAGACATGCTCTTATGTAGGAATAGTTTGACCTCAAATCTTTGGACTTCCTCCTCTAACTCTTGAAGTTTGTCGAAATAACCAGTCCTCCCACATCAATAGTTTTGATAACCAGTCTACTTCTCATCTTCTTTTATTTGAGTTATCAATCAGAATAAAAATGTCATAACTTTCATCACAATGTGAGTTTTATGAAATATTCATCTCTCCTGATAGTAGTTTCATGCCCATCTAATATTAGTATTGGACGATCAATTTATTAAGTTTCCTATTTGGCATGAAATAAGTAAATTAATTGAAACTTAAATTATTTAACACTTTTAATGTTTTTCCAGGTAGAGGACCATCAAATTACTACTAACTAGTCCATAATAAATACTTACATTTTCAGGCTTCTGAATGTTAATGACTAGCTTTCAATCTTGCTTCCCTTCTGAGGAAATATACAGAAGGCAAGGTACTAACCAAGAATTAATACTCTATCCCACGAGTGAAAAGCGGTCAGGAACCTGGATAACTTTGAGGATGAGAGAAAAACCTGATAGTCTTATGTCTTGAAAAATTTGTGCTGTACATGCAACAATGCTGATGTCTGATTGTGTGCATGCACGTATTATTGATTATACCTGCTATATTTGATTATTTTATTGCTAAAGGAACAAGTACAGTTGTAGGTCTTTGGTGACCTCTTGTTAGTGTGAACGTCTACCTGCAAATTTTTTACTACATAGCTGTATTACTGCATTATAATCTTAAAAGCATGGAAAGGCATGCCCTAGAGCAGATTGTTATTTACAGCTGTGCAGTCTTCTAGTAGGTTTCAGAAGTCTGTCAATCATTTTGAAGTGCGAAAGTGAATGTAACCCACATAGCAAGTTTGGTAATGAACTGTTGCAGGAAGAGAGGACCTGTTAGTGCTCTTCCATGCCCAGTGAAATCTCCATTGGCTGATGGGATGTGCAGCTAAGCCCTCAGAAAGATAGGGCTAGAGGTAGGCTAGGACCTTTGCTGGAAAAAAAAAAAAACAAAAACAAACAAAAAAAAACCCAACAAAAAACAGAAACATAGCAAAAATCCCTGTAATAAATGTTTTGTTCCTCTTCTAATGCATGTGTTTTGAGGCTGCTGATAGCAAAGGCAGACACATATAAGCCTAAAATGTTTCTTTGATATTCTACTTGGACGTACATTTATCAGAGGGCTTAGTTTAGATATCTTATTAAACACAACAAGCTACTACATAACTTATTACAGGAGAAAATTATTATATTCAAAAAACTAAGGCTCAAGGTATTCAAGGGAGTTTTGATATATGTTAACCATCAAATGACACCATGCTTTTGAATAATGGAAAGTTTTGCTAATTGTATTTTGGGCACCTGAAAAGCATATAATTCAGAATATCATTACGCAATTTCAAATTTTCTTCAGGAGTGACAATTTCCGTTTGGGGGTATCCATGTATTTCATCTTTTCAGTGGCAGTCGTGTTTCCATTTTATTTATTGAGTTGCTAGCAACTTTCTGTAATATAGAATGCTTATTTCATTTCAGACATGCTCTCAGAATTAGTAGGAGAGATGAATTCTTGGAAACTGGGGCAAGATGTATGTGAAAGCAGTTGCTTAAAGCTCAAGATGTATCAGAATCAAAATGCAGTGAACATATGTTGAAATCCGGACTTGTGGGCGGGTGATTAAACAGTATCTTGCACCAAACTTCCTTTAGTACAACTAAATTTCTGGCTTTGGTGGTGTGAATTAATAATTTTAGGGTTCATGGCATTAAAAAGGAGTATTTGTATTATTTCCATATTTGCCACACCACAGAATTAAGCTGTAAAAGGGGAAACATTATGGTGGCCAAGATTAGGATAGGTTGCTTAAAGAAGTTGTGGAATCTCCCTCTTTGAAGATAGTTGGATCTAGTCTGGAGATGACCCTGAAAAACATGATCCAACATTGGCTTCAAAGCAAGCCTTGCTCTGAGCAGGAGGAAGGACATGACCTCCTTCATAATTCTGTGATTTTGCACTGAGAAAATGGCAGTAAGCATTATCTAAGAACTGGGAGGAGGCTGCAGATTACATTCAATTATGTCCTAAAAAAAGCAACAGAAGCAGCATTTTTAGCTTTTATCCTCACTTGAGGTTGGGGTTGTTTTTTTTACATGCCACATGAGTTTGAAACTGAATGGCACTGACTATACATGCTGTTTATGCATCTTCTAGGTTAAAAAAAATAGCCATTGCTGCTTTTGCAAAGGACAAAAAAACTTGAAGCCTGAAGTCTATGTAAATTAAGCTAAAGTGTTAGCTAAAATCACTGAAGTCAGTTGAACAGTTCTCAGGAACTTGACTAAGTTGTAGATTTTGTCCTTAATTATAATTTAATTTAATGATCTAATTTAGAATAACTGAATTTAATAAAATCTTTCTGTTTTGCAACATGACATAATGTATGGAATAGTGGCTAGGTGTCTAAATTACATGCTGTCTTCCTATTAAGGACTGATATCCCTTTGTTATCCTTTCTTCCCAAAAACTGACTCAGAAGCTGAGAGGTGCAAGCTCACATTTGCAGGTTCAATTTACAGACGGAACATTTAAAGACAAGGCTTTTCACATTGTTCTCATCTGCTTTCAGAGTCACTTATAAGAAAACCAAGCAGAGGTTTTCCTTTTCTGTTTTGGTACTCTGAAAATAATTAGTGCAGAAAAGTCAAGGAGCAGAATTAAATTGTCTGGGTTGTGAACTGAAAAGTGCTAAAGTTTTGGGTTTGTGCGTGTGTGTGTGTGTTTTTTCAAGTGCTTTGAATTAGGTAAGATTTCCAAAGCATCTGAGAGGGAGTTATTTACACACTTCTGCCCAGTCACTCTGTTATTCCTGGGCCATAAAGATCTCTCTTAGTTCTACGCAAGTCGAAATATTTCATATGACGTAAGTTGGGATGGTGTTGCTGTCTTGGCTTGCTGAGAGCTGGTGCTGATTGAATTGATACCAGTAGCAGAAGAAAAAAGGACAAGAACCAGGGAATGAAAACAAATGGGCTCCTTTTTTCTTCCCAGTGGAGGCCTGTTTTGACCATCCGAGGTGGCAATACAGCTAAGTAGCTTTCTTCAGATACAGTCTACAATGGGCCAGCACATCTACTGATGATTTTTTATATTACACTTAATTATCATTGTATTACTGGTAATATATCCCCATGGGCATTTTAGTATTTGCTGCTTGAGAATGTCTGTGCTGTGAGGCAAGACATCCTTCTGAAGCTGAGCCTCAGCCTGCTGCACGTGAGCTCAGGTGTACGGGAACCGAGAAGAAGAAAATGAAAAGCAGCTCTTTGAACTGAAAAAGGAGCCTTGTAAGCTGGGGTAAGGGTTTGTCTTATCTGCTAGGAACAGGATTTGGGCTCACAGGGCTGTCAGTGCTTTTGCTTAAATTTATTTTTATCAACTGGCACAAAAGCTTTGATTTTTGTATTGATTCACATTAAGCTGAAATAAGAGGTTTTAATACACAGACACTCTAACGTGGCCTTTTCTCAGTTACAGCATTAATACACCTGTCTATCTATATAGAAAACTAAAATTCAGAAATTCAAAACAACTCAAATAATGTCTTTAAATTTTGGAGTGATTAATTAAAGAATTATTTTTATATTTCACTTGAGTGATGGTGATTATCTGAATTAAAGTTTTTTAACAGAAATTATGATAAAATGTGTTAATATGTATTGCCATTTTTAATAAGCTGGGATCATAAGTAAAGGAATAATTCCATCCTGTCTTATTGCCAAGGCAATGGGTTGGTTCATGGGAGTGGATCAACTGGAGGGAGATACTTCTGGTCCAGACTGGGTAAAATTAATGTGTTTTCTATTTCAGAATATTTATTTGGGACACTTTTTCCCAGCTGTGATTTAGCAGAGTTTTATTGATGTCTTTAAAAATATTGGGCCTGTTTCTGAGCAGATTGTCTGATGTTTTAAAGACCATTGCATAAATGTCTTCACACCTGCATTAGGCAGTGGGTTTATTTACATATTTGCATATTTATGTCAGGAAGACATTAATTAGACGATATATTAGAAATATACAGGCTGTGTAGCTTCACTATCATACTAACCAAAGGGAGACATTCCTTCCTTAATAACAGAACAAGAGAAGAGTGACCATTTTAAAGAGATACAGTTGTTTTGGCAAACTAATTTGTGGTCTATTTTAAGATGTTTCTCTGTGTGCTTTTCTTTACAACCTTATGAACATGTGGACTAAAGGTACTTTTCTTCTTGGGCCTAGAAGTCTGTTGGCTGGTGTTAACCTGGTGATGACTTCAGTGTTCACAACATTACACTTCTTTTGTGATAAGGATGTGGTTGGATATAAACACTGTATTTTCATTTCTTCCATTTTGATTTTCTTGTAGACATTTCAGCAGTCTTCTCTACAGCAGAAAAGTAAAAAGAAGAACAAAGGTAAAAATTAAATTTGTTTTCATGTATTGGTAGGAAGGGAGTTGCCAACATTCACGTTTATAGTATTGCAGTATCTGAGGAACTAGAACTTGTTAGTTCCAATCCAATGTTTAATTCGGTTGATCATGTTGAGGTGTTAGTCCATTACTGGTGTCTCATTGTTTCCTAATGCTTCTCTACCTGCTGGTTTTTCCAGTTGCGTGCAGGTAATATCTTACTGCAGCCCTCGCTCATTACCTAAGCTGTCAGGTAATTTATATCGTAGTAGATTGTCTTCCTTTGATTTAGAAGTACAAAGGCCTTAGGAACAGTTTAGTTGCAAAAGGAGCTGCAAAGAGAGGTTTTTGAATACCCATGAAGTACTTACATTGTTGTAATTGGCAGCCAACTGTGAAAATACATGAATTTATATGCTGTGTGCTTTAATCTGTTGTGCAATATTAATTTGTTGAAAATTACAAATAACCATTTGTCTTATTTTTAAATATCTTGCCTTTCTTTCCTCTACAATGTCTTCCTTTTCTGGGTTGCCTTTTTTTGTTTGTTTTATCCATAGAATATGAGCTTTGTGAGGTGCTGAACATGGTTTGTTTTCTTTTCTTTACTTTCTTTAACTTACGTTGCTTTGCACAGACTTTGTGGTCAAAATAGGTGTTTTGTAATAATTTATTCATGACTAATTGAGGTTGAAATTTTTAATTAATTTTCTTAAGCAAATATATAATGCTTTCTGGGTAGCTGTCTTGTTGATGTAGTGGACAAGTCAAACGCTTTTACGTCAGCTCATTGTCATTTTCAGCTCCTATTCCTGGTAAAAGCAAAAGACGGATCTCATGTAAAGATCTCGGTCGAGGGGACTGTGAAGGCTGGCTTTGGAAGAAGAAAGATGCCAAGAGTTATTTCTCCCAGAAGTGGAAGAAATACTGGTTTGTCCTGAAGGATACATCTCTATACTGGTATATCAATGAAGAGGTAAGCACCTGTGCTCACTGTCTTAACAAATACTCTGCGTAACGCTGTTGTCATGAGTTGGTGGGAAGCCAGTGCTTCATATATATATGAATAACTTTATTCACCCAAATAATCACACTGAAATTAATACTAACTGCCTGACTAAGCTACCATTAAGGTCCAGAAATATATGGTCCTTCAAATTCACCTTTTACTACATGGAGAAATATGATATTTTGCTGGTTGTGCTCCTACCAGTTTAGAATAAATCTATCCTCAAACACTTCAAAGTGAAAAGGTAGTTATTTAATCCTGTCATTCAAGCTTAGTCATGGGAGTGTAAACTTTAATGATGTGCTGCCTGGTGTTTCTTGTTTTTCTCTGATAGTGAAATCACCAAAACCTCTAGCAATTAAGGAAGATGCTTTTGTTTTCTCAGTTGTGTTCTCCTGTTGTTCCTTCTTTGTAGCTTTTGATATAATTTCAGTGCTCACATATGCTGAACTTAAAAGCACCAGAGCAGCCCAACTGAATTGTGTACAGCTTTGATTGTGAAACATTTTCTGTATTTGTGCACGTTTATTTATATTAACTTTAGCAAAAAAGCTAAAAAGCAAAAAGCAAAAAAAAGCTTTTTGCCAGTGAGTTAGGAAACCCTAATTTTAAAACCCTATTCATCTCGTTAGTAAATATCCTGAGATAAAATTGCTGCCAATGTGTGGATGCATTCAGTCCTAGACTTGTTCTTTTAATCACTGCAAACATTTGTACATAACCTTTTTAAAATATTCTGATCCCCATTTTTCCCTGACTAGATAGCAAGCCAGTTGCTCCATGAACAGTTACCGAAGCCTGTCTTCCCACAGAGTCATCCCATTTGTGCCTTGATCACAGTTTCAGATCAGTAACCTTAACTCATTCCTCTCTATTCTCCCTCCTCAAGGTTACAACAAGTTCTTCATCAGGGCAGTAATTCCTATCTACAAGTACAATAACTGGTCACCAGCCATGGCCAAGGTGCATGTGGAACCACTGAGTTCTGCCTTACCTTCCCATGGAGAGGGCAGTGGTCTGAGCACTTCTGTCTCCCCGCATCCTAAATTTCCCTGAGACTTGCTGAGACTCTATTACTTTTGAGACCTCAGCTCCCTCACCAAACTGTCTGCAATCACCAATAGATTCAAAAGCTGGCAGGTAGGAGCCTCAGTGGCAGATGGACAGGCAAGCAAACAGTGCCTTTGACAAAATTTTGTTTCCTTAGGCAACCATGCAAAAAAAGAAATAGCAAAAATTATTCTAAACAGTGTTCTTTCCATTTTAAAATATCTGCTAATGCCAAACCTGTTCCAACCTTGTATCTTCCCCAGAACGACTCTAGTTCCAGTTTTATATGCTGATTTGTGTCATTTATTTATTTTTAAGAAAACATATAGTCATATGGACTGCATATGTGGCATAAATAACTATGGAGATTCTGAGAATAAGATCTAGTTCTCTTTAATTCCTTAACATACATACGTGTTTTCTGCAGCTTCACTTTCATGATCCTATATTAATTTGTCATGTGAAGTTATGAGCAATTAAATAAGAGAGTCTGTGTTACTGATGTATTAGTGTCTTAAAATAAATAATGCTTTCAGGTTGTGAAAAGTCAAAAGAGATTAAGTATCTGATAAATTATGTGCGGTCTTCAGAGGAGAGGGGAGGAAGGTCAGATGTCTTCTTTCTTGAGTGTTGAGAGAGCGGTGAAAGTAGCTGAAGAGAGATATGCCTCTTGGCTGTGATATCATATAAAGATCATAAACAGCACACATTTAAATTGCTTTTCTCCCTATTTCTTACAGTAGGCTGCATTTCTCCTTACTAATTAGTCCATCTTCCCCCCAAATTAACTAATTACAGTAATTAATTGCCTGAATACATTAGATAATTTTCTGTATTTTCAAATGCTGGTTCAGCTGTGAAATTGTTCGAGAAAAAAAGATATTTCACATTGTATTTTTCAACAAGGGATCTGTCTTACTACTTTGGCAAAAGTACCAGTGACTTCTGTGGGAGGTTTGCCAGAGCAGAGCATACATTAGTATTCCTTATATAAGAAGGAGGCAAGTGAAAATATCTTTAAGCTTTCAGTGAGGTGGGATTTTTTTTTTTTCTGACACCTTAACAACAGTAATATCTAGAACTGTCTTTGCAGGATGAAAAAGCAGAAGGATTCATCAGTCTACCTGAATTTAAAATCGACAGAGCCAGTGAATGCCGCAAGAAATAGTAAGTATGCTCAAAAATAATGCAACGGTACAACAGAAATAGTGGAACAAAGAGCAAGTTTTTCCCTTAAAACTGTGGCATAATGGACTTTGTTACAATGATCGTGTGCGTGTATCACAGAATAAGCTCATACAGAACAGGCAAATTCAGTGTGGTTTCTGTGTGAAATCTCTCCTGAAGAAGGTTTTTTGTTCTTTGTCATCAATCACAGTGCTTGACTAGAGCAAAATTAATTAAGAGCAAGAAGGTTGCTTGGCTGCTTCTGTCCCTTGATTTTCCTGGGTTTCCTTTATTTTCATTCCTTTCTGTTTTTGGAGATTTTTTTGTTTGTTTCTTGGGGGTTGGAGTGTGAGGGTGTGAAACCTTTAAGCTCAATAAAGAGCTTTAAGAATAATATAGAGACCATCCAAATCAAAAAGTCCACAAGTTCATGGCTAGGCATCAATCTTTAATGTAACTCCAAATTAGTTAGCATCATCTCAAAGTTTGCTGACACAGTGTACCAGTCCTGAGGCAGAGTAAAAAAACAGAACGTTAGTGATTTGCACTATTTTTGAGGTATGACCTAAAGTTCTCAAATAACTTTTCACCTAGCTGTGTATACTGCCGTCCAGATTTGTGCCATTGCACACATCTGATTTTTATTTAGATGTAAATTCAAGCATATGTAGCGTTGTGACAGGTGCATACTTCCACAGAGGTATTTTTAGAGTCATTGTTCTTGAAAACTTTTTGCCTTGCCTTCTAATGGTTTTTACTGTTCTTTTAAGTTTATCAAGACTTTGGAATCACTGAAATTTGTACAGAAAAGCAATTGCAAAATTAAAATGGTATGATTTGTAGTACATACAGTGCTAAAGAAGATACTGACCTTGTATCAGTTGGTCAGCATATCTCTTCAAGATGAACTCTGCTCTTTGATTATGGTCTCAAAGGGCAGAAAATGAAAACTGCATTTAAAAAAAAATATGTCAGCTTGGGCTTATTGTCCTGTGTCCTTGGGCTGCTTTGCTGAAGTGCTTCATTTTTCCTTTTTTGTTTGGGCAGCAGCATGAAGTCAACACATTATTCAGAATTGCACCCTGCTTAAATTGCTTTTTTCCTTGATTTGGTATCTACTGGATAGTAGAACGAAATGTGGCTATTAAAATTCCTTGCTTAGGTGGCAAATAAAGAAAAAAAACCTCAAAGAATCCAGATGACAGATGCTGTAACCATTTTAAGAAGTCAAGTTTTGGGATGTCACTGTGCATCTGCTTCCACTTGCATAGCATTGTGTCAAGCTCTTATGCATTAGAGGAATTCTTTTTGTCTCAATTTTATGTTACCTTCACTAGCAGTAACTCTTCTGGGTATCAGTTTCATATCCCTGGTTTCTTAAAATCTTTTTTCATATATTTACATATATGGACACAATGGATTAGAGAGAGTGACAATTATTATATATATATCCCTTATATGTATATATTTATATAATCCATTACATCTCAGAAAAGTTGTGATCGTCTTCTTCATGCATCAGCTTTGCAGTTTCCCTTACTTTCTTTGGGACTGTTACACAGATTTTGTTCTTATTTTAAGAGACAGCTTCAGGCTATTCTCAAAAATTATTCTTCTGTACTGTAAATTATTAATTACTTTCAGATGCATTTTCTGAATCTTCAAGTACCTCACCATAAATCTTTATCCAACATAGTTAAAAAATTGTTTCTAGTAATTTATTTCATATTATGTATGAAATGCAGTAATTCTCTCAGCCCAGTCATGTTGATTACTTCAGTGGAAAGAAAAGATGAGATGTAATTGCCCATTGCTTTGAATGACCTCAAGAACACATTGTTGATTTATAACAGCTTTCCAGAAGTGCATCACGTTTTTCTGTTTGAAATGCAGTCATTAGAGCTAAAGGTAATGTCAAGATCATTGGGATGTGAGAAATCACCAGGACTGGTATTGAATAAATTGTTCAGTCAATTTTCTGTTCAGAAAAAAATGGACACCTATAGGTATGTCAGCAAAATTACCTGATACATAAACTTATATCCTTAATTGGTTAACTTTATCCAAATATGGCACACTACAGGTGACTTTTGAACAATATTGATGCACATATGAATCAACCATTATTTAGAAAGCGGTAGTTGAAGAACACATTACTTGGTGAAATCTGGCACAATCCTAAGAGTTGTATGGTTGTATACTGTTTGAGGGCATCCAACAGCTCAGGAAATCTGAACTCATCTCATTCTGTAGTGACCACACTATCTTACATTAAAAAAAAAAAAAAAAGAGTTGCACCATTACATTTTTATAATTATGTTTTTCCTCTACAGTGCATTCAAAGCTTGCCATCCTAAGATCAAAAGTTTTTATTTTGCTGCTGAACATCTAGATGATATGAACAGGTAAGGAAATCTAGCAAAGTTCAAGGAACCATTCCTTAAATGTGACACTACTTGAAGCTAGTAATAACACAGTGATAATAAATTACATGTTAATCTAAAAAGTTAAATTTAATAGTTGAAAAAATAAGTGTAGAGTAGTATTATTTCTGAGTGGCTGCAAATGCTAAATATTCAATTCATGCAAAAGTTACTTTTTTTGAAACAAAGGTTTGAAGATTTTTAGAAACAAGATTTCCTCTTTCTAAAAAGAAACAGATACAGTATGTGAAACAACATCCAAACACAGTTTCAGAATTCCAGGTTTCTGCAATGCTGCTTTTGGCTGTGCAGCACCTGCAAAGGTGCTATATCTCCAACTCTGCTTCCTAACATACTCCCAAAGACATGTGATGCTTGCTTTGGGGGTGCTTCTATTTCTGTCCCTGGACGGAATGAGAAGTTGGAGAAAAATTTAAAGCATTCACTGATTTTTCTTGTGCCGGTCTTGAAAAAAGAGGTAGAGATTAGAAGGGATGAATTTTGCAGATTCTCTCTACTGCCGTGAATTTAACCTACTTGTTGAAGTAAAATTTTGGTTATATTGAATTTAGTGGGGAAGATCTCAGCCACCCAAAAAGAACAAGGACTTCAGTCTTAGTTCTTTGGCTATTGAGCTTTACTGTACCTATTTTAGGCCACTTGTGCGATTTTTTCAGAGGCTTCAGCACAAAATAAACACAGTTGCTCTCAATTCATTTGAATTCCGAATTACAAACATGGATCTCATGTCTTCAAATATTTGGGGTTTTATTTAATTTTTTTCACAACATAAACTGAAATTAATTCAGTTCGAAATAATACACCACTCTCATCATATGACAGAGGACACAAAAATCTATTATTGCAGCCTGAGAATTGTTCTATCTTAGATAATGTCCGTGGACATCCTTGCTGAGAAAATTGCTTTTAAAACAGAGGACAAAGGAGATAAAACTCAATCCATAAAGCTGTTAGTAAGTACTGTAATCATGGTTTAATCTCTCCTGTGTGTGCTAGATTCAGCTACCTGGCAGAGCACCTGCAGGGTACTGCCAGTCCTTTACTGATAATATTTGACTGGAAAGTTATGTTGATACTATAGTATACTTGCTTTCATTTAGAAATAGCTGTCTGTTAACATTTTTTTCAAAAGTTCATGCATGACTAAGGCTCGCTTCAAAAGTCTCTCCTCAGTTAGAAAACTTAAGACCTTTTTAAGTGTTTGTAAAATTTTAGGCTTGCCTTTCGTTGAGAATTCTGTCAAGCCAATCACTCAAAATGCAATTTGCTGCACAGCAAACAGAATAATGGCATGATCTATTCAGCATAGCCTGAACTACAGCAGTAGATCAATCATTTCTGTCAGCAGGTCCTCAGTCAGTATGGCAAGGCACCTTTTTTCTAAGGATAAAAGTTTATATAACTGTTCAGTAATCATAAAGCAGCAGCAAATATGCATCAATTCTTTAAAAATATATTGCACAGTCTAAAACCCAAGAACGAAAAGTTTTTTAACTTCTCAGCACAAATAGTCTTTTTATTGTGTTTTGAAAAAAGTGCTCATTAATTCAGTTAGCAGGAGCTTGACCAAATATTGATCAGAGTTATACACATGTAAATTTAAAGCAACTCTGTCAAGGTCTGTGGAATTTCTTGAAATTCTTACATCTGAGTTGCCATCAGAGTCCCACCAAATAATTTTATTTTTTCTCTTTGTTTAGTGTATTAGAAAAAGTAGTTCACCTTCACAAACATTTGATTAACTCAATATATTGGAAAAAAAGATGGGTTACTGAAAAACAGTCTTTCAAATGGAGAGATAGTAAAATGCTTCCTGTCTGAAAGCATTTTGTAGCCTAGCTGAAGTCAAACACAGTATCAAGTTATTAAGTTAAATTAAAACTGTTTTGATCAGTTTCTCTTCTTTTTCAGTCAGGTTTCTGACATACATTTTAATTATGTTTCATGTGGTCATTTCAGTTCTGTTTATACTTGAAGCAGAAGAAATTAAAGTAGAAAACTGCTGATACATAGTGTAACTGAAAGTTCAAAATGGTTCAATTCCTTCATCCCTTCTATAAAATGGTTCAGTTGTTTTTTAAACAAAAAGTGTTTGCAGGATATGAAGTTTTTGTTAGTGTGTATCTGCTCACATAAAATGGGTATTTTATTCTCAGGTAACTGTCATTATTCAAATTTCTTACTACTTTTATGACTGTGCCACACCATCATGCTGGTAAGGAGTCTGGAGAACTATGATCACTGAACTTTATTGTTGTGGCATCTGAAGTTCCTTTCATCTGCATGGTTGCTCCAGGAAAAGTGTTCTTTCTACCTGTATAACGTGCTTAGTCTGGGTGAGAGGAAGGACAGAATATCCTTCATTGATGCAAAGTACTGTTTTACTAGTGTAAGTGCGTAGTCATAGAAACTTCTTTCTTGGAAATTCATTGTTATTCCCATTCCAAGAAAATATTCTGATGCAGAAGGCAGTCCATATATTTTTACTTCATGATACTATATGTAACTTTATTTTTATTTTCCATGGTAACTGTGCCTGCTGCTTTATAGACTAACTATTTGTTCTTTACTCAAATATCCTGATCATCAACTCAGCGGCAAATGCATCCTTTTCAGGGTTGGCCAGCTTAAATACTTATAATACTCTTATTCTTCCTTTTTATTCCAAACTGTCCATTTTTTAAGTGATTATATATATGGCTGCCAAAATTATATCTTCTAGACAGGGAAATATGGTCAGTTGTCTACAGGCCTCTTTATTCTGGTTAAACTGCAGTTGGGTACTTAACAGACACTGTAAGGTATCCGTATTCCTATATACCAAGTTCATCCTGTATCCTCGAGCTTTATGATTAAGGACAATTTGGCACCCTTCTTTGACTAAAAGCATTACCTCTACCTGGAGCATGGGATAAGATAGAAAAATCTTTCCTACTATTCTGTGAGAGTGCCGGTATTGTGCATTCTTCTTTACAGAAGTTACAGGTCTACAGAAAGATTGGGGGTTTTTTGTTCTGTTCTATATGTCATAAAATTGGTTTAATTAAATACTGACAAGAAATGTATGTGCCATTCTTAAAAAAAAAAAAAAAACCTAGATGACTGCTGCAGCTACCAGTAGTACTGTATTTATTATCATACCTGACAAATAGATTGTATAATTCTCACAAGAAAATTAAAGCTGTATTTGCACTAAGGAAGGAATATTTCCTTGGCCTCTGAAAGTTACAGTGGCTACCAGGACACAGCACACCGTAGAGAAGAAACATTTAAATCTTCCCATGTCCTAGGGCCTTGTATCTTTTAATATTCATAGTAAGGAATATTTTTATAACTGTATGCTTGGAATTTTTGTCCCTAGTGCTTTGTGAAGTGGGCATGTTTTACTCCTCTTCCATTGTGCAAGAGATCTTCATGTATCTCTGTGATACAAGCCCAGTACATTGGATTTCTCATTTGATTCTAACTTGAATCAGCCACAACTCTAACTATGCTTTATTAAAATAATACTAATCCTCTAATCATAACCATTCTCACCATATCTAAAGAAGCTTTAGCAGACACATATATGAAAATATGCAGAAGTCAATAACAATCTTTTGGTTTCTAAACTGGCAAACCACTCAAAAGCTGTGGTTGTTAATGGTTTACAACAACATCAGCACCTTCTCATTCACCCTGTATGCACTGCAGGTGATATCGCAAAACATGACACAGATCATGACCTGCAGAAAATCATTAAATGTGAAGTCACTCTGCTGGCTGTCTCTCTCAGACTGCTATACATTTCCTGGGTTATCATGAGATTATACTTTTCAGGAAGTAACATTTTTCTGGAAGCAATCATCTACCGTAGCTGTAAGCAGTATCAGTTGACTGTCAGTTAAGTTAATTTAATTGATTACCTCACTCTGACGCACACTTACCACGAAATTTAGGACAGATTGAAGTTTTCCAACAAGAGAACCTTTACAGGTGCATCATCTAACATTTTGTGTTCAGCAGCCATATTCAGAGGGATTCAGTAGGTGGCTGTTCCCTGCTGGCTGCACTGGGGGATGGTAAGCCATGAGCTGAATTGGGAACACAAAATCCAAAATAGGCAGGAGGCAAGCAAAGGGCCACCTCCACTGTCTGCCATGCCATTTGACAGAGCAGGTGCTTGTCTTCTTGTGCTGCTTTACCCTTTGGACACAGACAAATCTGTGGCCTTTGCTGGTCCCTCGGCAGCACAGGGCTGGAGTGCTTTGGGTGAGGTTCCTGCCTCAGCGACTCTTATTTGGGCTGGCAGAACTGTCGAGGCAGCTGAGCTTTATTCCCCAAAGAAAGCCTTGACATATCAGGGATATGAACCTAAAAGATAGCTTTGTAGTGGGTCACCTTTCTGCTCTGAAGACGTGAAATCGTCTGAGACATGATTTGTTGGATTTCTGTTCCTATGTGCCAGTTATTTTTACAAGTATATGGCACTTCCTAACAATTACAACAGACATTTTAAGTCTCTTTTTCAGCTTCCCTGTTCTTCTCGCAGATGTTTTGATTGTGTGCTAAAATGAAGTATTCTGTAATCACTCCAGGAGTAAATCTCTAGCTTTCTTCCCAATGTACAATGATTTATGGACCATTAACGTGATTTACAGATCCTACATCTTGTCACAGTTTATAGACAGCGACAGGAGTTAATTTCAAGGAGAGCAACTGTATTTTATGATCTGATGCCTGCTTACCCTGCACTGAAATGTCTTGGAGGCTGGCATACAGGAGTGATTACAAAGATGTCCCCTTGCTGAGACAATACTACATCCTGTTTCCATGCATACAGTATGCAAATGAAACCCATCAGGCACAGTTTTCTGAAACAGGAGTTTCACATTCCTGAAGAGAACACAAACCTGACTTCACCTTCTGTACACCCTAGCAGTAAAATTGCAAGCCTGTGGGTTGGCAAACCAGGCCTGTCAAATCCTGACTATGGGATGACTGGAGTAAGTAATTCCAGGTTTACCATGAAATGGACAACCACAGGAAGTTGTCATGGTGCTTTAAAGCCTCAGTGGTGGAGGACTTGATTTTGTGTAAGCATTTGGATAATGAATAACACTGAGAGCCCATGGGGGAAAAGGGCAGGTTGAAGCAGTGCATCAGTACAGGCAGTTGAGTGTATGCTTGGCAATGACAGCCTTGCTTGAAGAGAATAGCAAATAGTTTGTTGGTTTGGTTTTTTTTTTAATTTGTGCAGTTTATGGAAGCATTTTTTCAAGTCTAAATTGAGGTTAAAGCCTTAGATGTGAATTGCATAGAGGCAACTGTCTTTTCTCTCCTCCTTCTCTGACATGAACACAAAAGTGAATTCTGATATGCCTCCTTCTCTTTGTACTTGGCACTGTAGGTAAGCTCTAAAACTCATAATGGCATAATTAAAGCTCAGTGTCTGTTTGGGAGTGAACCTGTTCTTTTTATTGCTGGTTTCTGCTCTGTTCCTCTGCTAAGTTGCCAATTCAGGCCTTAAAATATTGCTTAAATCTCTGAAAAGTGATGTTTATTCTTAAGAAATCAGAACAGCAGGAGTGTTGCTGTGATGGCATATCTGTGAGCAACAGACTTAATAGCTCTTTGATTACCTCCAAATCCTTTATTTTACATATGTTTGACATCAGACATGGTTTTCCATTTGAAATAAAGACTTTGCTGTGAAAACAATTTGTTCAACAGCAAAATCATAGATCTTTGGAGACTCCCTGAGTAAGAGTATCAAAGAAAAGAGCTGTTTAATATGAAAAATAACATTGCTAAATCTCCTTCAGATGCTCCTAACTTTTTTTTATGTAGCAATGGACCCAAAAATTAAGAGGCTGGATCAGTATCACTGCTTTTTTTAATGTTATTTCAGATGGCTAAACAGAATTAACATGCTTGCTGCTGGCTATGCAGAAAGAGAGAGGATCAAACAAGAGCAAGGTAATGTTTTGTTATGTTGGTTTCTTCCATCAGCTCTTATCAAAAGTTCATCTGTTCTTTTTTCCTTGCTGTGTATCAGGCCTCATTCTTGTCATCTGAGAGCAATTCACATATGGGTATCACTGTTGTTGCTTTAAAGAATTCCTTCTGTCTCAGGGGTTTTGATTAGCTCCTTCAGATTCTGGTCCACAGACACTGGATTATTTCTGAAAAGGCCACGAAAGGTAGCTAAAAGCAGCAAATGTACTGCCAATAAGCTCCGGTTTGTGATACCAAGAAGAAACTTAAGAATCTGCAAACTAAGAAAAATTTTTAAACATTGTATTTGGTGTTTGAATTCACAGGGAAATAAATTGGTCTTAGGAACAAAACCATTCTTCTAAAGCCTGTTGACATAATTGGATATCCCCTAAAGACTTTAATTTTAAGGCCATTTAATTTTTTGTGATTTCTACTGGTTTTGCTATATTGCAGTGTGTGCTAAAGCTGTGTTGGCATTTCATTTGGAGTTGCAGGTTTACAGCATTTTGTTTATTTTTAATGTCTAATATTTCACCAGTTTAAAAAGGTGGCATGTATAAAACAATGAGTCACTTTGCTTTAGTTTGTTGAAGTAGAAATCCTGTTTGCAGGCAGGAAAAAGAAAGGGTCCGTCCTCACTTGTGTTGGGGAGGTTGTTTCCTAGAATTGCCAGTGACATGGATCCACGGAATTGTTCCTCTCCAACTAGCTGCTTTGGCAGGCAGCTGGCTTTTTGAATACACACTCTTTTTTACAGATGTACCTGGCAGCAGGCACCAGAAAATTGCAGTGGTCATAATGATCCAGAGCTTATCCAGATGCCTGTCTGGCTGCTGCCCACTGAGTCAAAACCTCACTTGTTAATTCTGTGGCTCTGCAGCCTTCATCAGTAAGGTTCTGCCTTTTCATCCAAAAAGCTGATAGCTCAGAGCTGCAGCAGCAATGTTTTTAATCTAGTCTTTTCTTTACAAAGACTATATTTCTAACCACTTTCCGGGAGAGTTTTGTTCAAAAGACTATCACTAGGCCACGTGGTGTCCTCCAAAGTCATGGTTCAATACCAACCTATGTGACAGGAGCCTTAACCCTGACCTGCTGGTCTGATACCCTGAGAAGGAAGATACGCATGGTATGTCTCTTTGTAATGTGTTGCTGCAGTGCCATTTTCCTGAGAGACACTGTGCAAAAAACTCCTTTCCCCCATGAGGAGCAAGGGTGACTTTGGCAGCCAAGTTGAAACATCAAGACAGTAGAATATTCTGTAATGGTAGAAGATTAAAAGACAGCATCAAAAATTATGCCTGCCTTGATTCATACCCTTATTGACTCACCACAGAGCCTCTTAGAGGGATCAGCCTGGGGTTGAAGAGCAGTGGCTTACAGCATACTGCTGTAATTCGGTGGTAGTAGCGTGCATGGGAAAGTTATTGGGCGTTCCGTCATTCTCACACATAACTCGGTAGTACCTGCTGTTGACTCGTTTCTAATCATGTCTTCCAGGAAGAGCAGCTACTTATCCTGGGAGAGTTGCCCACACCCTGTTTTAGTCTGGTATAGTCCTTAGCACAACATGTCATTCGTAACACCAGGCCCTCCGCAATCACACAGCCCAGGATAGCAGCGCCATGCTCACTGTTCCTCCAGTTGTGTTCTCAGTGCCTCACCAGCCTTCAAAATCAGTTTGGAAATCTGTACTCCCCAGGCAGCACTACAATAACCTGTTTGGAGGGACCTGTATACCATCTGTCACTGCTTGAAGAGGTTGTGAACAAACTGTGAATCTTGGAGTTTTCGAGTAAATTCTCTGTGCTAGCATTCAAAGCCAAATTCAAAATGTTATTGACAGCAGATTGGCACTAGAATTACAATAACATGTGGGACAGTAAGGGAAAAGGTGTGTAACAGTTACACTATCACTGTCCAAGTGCACAATTGCAGACATGACACACCCTTCAAAATCCAGATGGATGTGGAGAAATATTTTTGCTACCAGGCAATCGCTGGGTAATAAAATAGCAGATGATCCAGCTCCTAGACATGAGACCATGTGCATTCAGGCCTCATGTTACCTACTATTGAAATGTCTCCCTATTGAAGATCATTAGTGAGAGCCCACTTACTATGGAAATTATATCCCAGGCACTGACAAAGCTCGTTATTACTGCTCTAACGCCATTCACTCAGATTGATTTATCATATACAGGTAGGTAGAACTATATCCTCTTTATGTTGCTTAGTTATGTTTAGTGTGGGAATCAGTATCACATTCCCCTCTCGCTGCCGTACAGTGTTCTTATACCTCTGGTGATTATCCTTGGCTCCCAGCACAAGGGCTATTAAACAGCTCAGTAGTGTCCCTAATTAGCAGAGGCATCAAGTTAGCAAAGTAAAACATCTCTATCACTTCAAGCATTTTTGCAATTATAAAAACTGTGAAGCTGGAATTTTCTATATTCAGTGACTGTACCAATTGCCATCTACATATTTGACTTTACAAAAGATCTTTTATTTCTTCTGTTCAGTTCAGCCCTTTGCAGCAAAGCTTTATAATACCTCTGAAACAATTCAACAGTAGTTGTCAAACCTGCTTCAATTAAGAGTTGAATGGTTCTGAATCTGAAGTGCATAAATATATTGCAAGTGCTTCAGAGATGCACGAATCACCAAATTGTGGGTGTACAGCTGAATAAAATGTCACATTCTGTACAGAACAGTTTTATAAAAATACCGTCAACTTCTCATATTAAATACAATTAATGTTAGCAATATGGCAAGGGACTTCCTTGGATGGAGAAATTACAAATCAGAGAAAAAAATACTTGCTTGTATAAATAGAAAATATCAGCAAATGGCAGGTCAGTGTTAGTTTATATATAATATATGCAGTCTATTGTTCATTCAGAAAGCTTTCAAGATATGTCCAATACATTGAGCTTGTCTGTCACTGAAATGGACAAAATCTGCCAAGAGAAATACAGAAACTGTTTGATAGCATTTTATGCATTTTAGATAGACACTAATGAGTCAGGTACCAAAAGGAGAACATTTTGAAAATTGGTGGGAGGCTATTTTCATACATTTCATCTGGAAGTTGACCCCCATTACTGCAGAATTTTTCTAGACAAGCTGTAGGTTGCCGACAGAATTCCCTGTCTGAGGTAAGGCGTGCAAAAGCATGGTCACACAGTGTTTCATTGCGTGTGGATTTGAGAGGAAGAACATCTTTGTATTCTTAGCCAAAATTGGAACCTGCAGTGCGGCTGCTGAATTTTAATTTCAGAATAAACAGTTGAGCTCCAAGTCTGCAGAAATCTCACTGAGTGATGCAGTTCTGACAGGTCTCTCACCACACATCATGCCATTAGGCTTTGCTGTAATAGGAACAAACATGCTTATATGCCAATATTGTCAGGTGCTTTCAGTTGCTGGAAACAAGTTTTCTCCAAACTAGGAGTGACTTGAAAAAAGAGTTTTCTCTGATTTCGTCTTTCATTTACCAAAAAAATCATTATTTGCAGATTTCTAGAGACAAATTTTTTTTTGAATTTTTTATTTTGTAGTCATTAAAACCTTATTTATTGTACCATTTGAAGATAATCTCTCATCTATAAGCTTACAGAAAGCAAATCAAGAGCTCCAGAGTTAAAACAGAATTGTTGCTGCTTGTAAAAGGTAAATAGATAAATAAGGCTGCCCCCACCATTACTGAAGTCTAAAAATATACAGCATTTTAGGGATAGCTGTTTCCAGATGGTGTCATTTTAAGGTCAGTTTTCATTTTAAATCTTGAATAGGATTAGGTACAGTAGATCATTAATCATGCTTTACAATAGTCATCACGGTAACAAAAAATCATAAAAGCCAAAATTTACATGTTGTGCCAACTTGGATTTTTGGTTTCAAACATTTATGAAGCAACAATCAATCTTTTTCTCCTCATTTATTAAAGAGAAAGTATTGTCAGGCAGTTCATTGATCACTTACTAGGCAAAGTGAAAATTGCCTGTGATTAGTCAGTGAATAGTCTGAGCTGAAGTGTCCTGTTGTACAATGATTTACCCCAAATACTAGGAAGTAATACAGTTAAAAACAAAGTGGCAACATGAATGTTTATAATTCTTACAATGTGTAGATATGTTAAAGTTCTCCATCTTGAGCAGAGGCAGAAGTTAAGTAGTTTTCTTTTGTAAGGAATATTAAGGTACAGTGTCCATTCAGTTAGATGCTGTTCTGCTTCAAAAATATTTGCAACACAACAAATATCAATTCCCATCTGGTACATTCTTCTATATGTTTTCCCCTTTGACCAAGCTACTAAACATATGAAATGTGCTTGGCCAAGATTTGATTTCCTGACAAAATGAAACCTCATATCCCATTAAACTTAGCCCACAAGCTCTGTGTCCTTTTTATTTTCTCATCCATCTTTTGGAACTCTATGCTTAAATATCGTTGTTGTATTTTTCCTTACCATATAACCCTTTAGCTGTTTATGAAGCAGCTATATTATATAAAGTTTTTCTGTCTTATTTAAATGCAGCTGGTTGTTATTAGAAACTGAATTGAAAAGTTTGGATAACTGGTAGTATGCAATGGATTAAATGGGTAGAGAAATAACATTGATTAGTCATGTGTGTCATAGCTACCACTTGTGTGATACCGGTTGGTGTTAATTACATTTGTTAATGTTATTTGCAGTCAACAAGACTTTTGCAAGTTACATTTTTCATCTTTTCTATTCAAAAAATACTTTTAGTATTTTCTAGTCAATGTGTGTCCAATCACGATTAATTTGATGGCTGTAAAAGTATTTGAAAATCTGATACTTGTATTAGCAGCATCCTGTATGCATGCTGTATTTATCAGGTGTGTGCAAGAGTTAAATTTGTGGCTCTTTTTCAGGTTTTTGTTGAATATCTCTGCAGTGAGGCATTAGACCATAAGGTTTTGAATTTTTCTTCTTTAGATTAAAGCAATTCCTGTTTATAGCAGCTATGCAGAGTCAGCATTGACTGGTGTTTAATTCTCAGAAATAGTAAGGATGGAGCTTCTGGTTGCTTTTGTGAAAGTGAGTCTATGAGTATCAAAATGTGTTGGTAGTTTTTCATCTGATCTGTGTGTAATTTGTAGATTACTGGAGTGAGAGTGATAAGGAAGAAGCTGACACTCCATCGACACCCAAACAAGACAGCCCACCACCCCCGTACGACACATACCCACGACCTCCTTCAGTAAGTCACCTGCGACTGTCTACAGGAATGACTACATAAAGTGTCACTTTTACCTTTCTCCTGCTTAAAAGCATGTGCATGCACACATTAGGGAACTCTCCAGTATATTATTTGAGTCAGTACTTGACTTAAAGCATTCGTTAAGTAACATGCATCCCTAACTTCAACAGCCGTCATTGCTGTTTCCACTGCTGCATAGGGAACACAGATTTATAATCCCCATTTCTGTGCAAAATGAATTAAGTTACAGAATTCTTTCTTCCTGTTTTTTGTTCATGATGGACCCCTACTCATCGATGCTATCCCCTACTGCCCCCTTACCGTCTTCTCTGACAAAATGTTATTACCTCAGTAACAACATAGACTCTTCTTTAAGGCACAACAGTTGTGCTGTGAAGCTTTACAGTAACAAATTACACTCAAATTTCCACAGAAATGCCAATATAAAAATATCCTGTCTTATATCCCAAACAGTGATACCAGTTGTTCTGTTGTGAACAAGTAGGTTTCTCTATAAATTAGAACAAAAGGGGATTTTATTTTTTTCTTCTTGAAGCAGCTGTTGCTATAAAACCAGAGTATGGACTTCTAACTTACTCTGCACTGGCAATTTTAATTTTCATATCCATATACTCAGACAATGTTAACTAATATATCTTACTTGAATATAGTTCATAAAATGCAAAAATTTGGATTGAAAAAATGGGAAAGTCTGGGGAAAGAGAGTGTTCATGATGTTTAATCTGAATGCAATACTTTATCTTCCAAAATCATAGATCTTTGAACTACATGGAAGCACTGCAAAGATGATGCCAAAGAAATTTTTAGCAAGATAGGATGACAACAGGCATTTGGGTGACATTTTTAAGATTTTTAATGGACCAGGCACATCTATGTCTTCCTCTATGTCTTCCATAGTGCCATATTCTGCAAAGTTTTCTGTAAATAATTGTGTTGGCTTATTTTATAGACTGAGGGACATAGTAAGGATACTTACTAAGTATTAGTATTTAGGCCACAGGTGGGACATGTGTAGATGCGTGCATGCCTTAAAGTTATGATCGGGACGGGCTAATCAGGTAAGTTTGTGCCCTCTTGCTAAACTGGGTGCCATCAGGGACAATGAAAAGTACGTGGTTATTGCGAGGCCTTGGTCTACATTAATCTGAAGTTTGTTCCATCACTGACATTGTAGATGAGCTGCACAAGCCCTTATGTGGAGCCAAAACACAGCCGACTCTCATCCACGGAGACCTCCCAGTCGCAGTCCTCACACGAGGAGTTTCGCCCAGAGGCGGCGGGGAGTGCCACTGACTCACCCGTGCGCAAGACAGCAAGCCAGCGGCGCTCCTGGCAGGACCTCATAGAGACGCCACTGACGAGCTCAGGACTCCACTACCTGCAGACGCTGCCGCTGGAGGACTCTGTGTTCTCCGAAGCGGCCGTGGTCTCCCCCGAGCACCGGCGGCAGTCGACCTTGCCCACCCAGAAGTGCCACCTGCAAGATCACTATGGCCCCTTCCCCCTCGTGGAAGGTGAGCGGATGCAAGTGCTGAATGGGAATGGGGGAAAGCCCCGAAGTTTCACTCTGCCTCGGGATAGCGGCTTCAACCACTGCTGCCAGAGCCTTTCTGTTGGTGCTGCTGATCACCATGAAGAAGTGCAGCAGAAGGAGGTGGAGGAGGAGGAGGAAGAGGAAGGCAAAGCAGCAGAAGAAAACCAGGAAGATAAAAGTAAGTATGGGCTATTTCTGTGGCTTTTCAAGAGTCCTGTTCATGTAACATAGAGGTTGTTTTTCCTTTTTTCTTGTCAAAAAACCCCAACAGTCTTTCAACATCTCCCATGTTTTAACAGGTCCCTCTTGTCACACACCTCGTTGATCTGCCTTTTAAGTCTTAATAATCAAGAGTTCTGCGTGACCTCTCATGATCACCAGACACTTCCCTGTAGGCTGGTCACCAGTTATGTCCTACTAGTAATTTTTAGGTATAAATGGATTTTGCTTCCATGCTTTCTTCACACTTCACTTGCACAGTATCCTCCCCCACTGGCACATGTGTATCTCAAGACATACTTAGCAAGATTTCTAGCCAACCCCATCTGGGTTGTAAAAAACACTTGGTAATCCCTGGAGTGTAGGTCAGGTTGTGATTGTGTAGAATCCAGGTAGGCAGGAAACAAGACAGCCTAGAAGCTGTTAGAAGGTGGAAAAAAGGGAATATTTTCCCCAGTTCCTCACCTTGTGACTTGGAGAGAAGTTCAAAAAAACAAAAAAAATTGATAGAGAACAGCTATGTGACCAGTGGGCCTTAAAATCAGAACACTGAGTAACTGTCTTTTGCATGGCACATTAACTCCATAGATATTAGTGCTACTTGTCAAAAATAATCCAAATAAACAGGAATTGGAGAAGGTCCCTGCTCCTCCTGAACATGTGAACACATTTCTGTGTCTGTTTCATACTCTGTCCTTCACTGTCATTTATGGAACGTCTCAGCTTGTGTTGCTGGCAAAGTTGAGTTCACACCCAAGTTGTATGGTCAGTCAACAAAGCCTGCATCCATGAATTGTGGGGTTCTGCTGCAATCAAGCTGTAGTGGCAAGAAAGGCAGGATGACCTCTGAAACTCTCAAAGGATCTGTGCTGTCTGGTTCCTTCAAATTCATTTTTTTCACTGCAGTAAAGAAGTATAAAAATGGTAAAGAGATAGAAAAGGGTAATGAAAGCTTTGGATAATTAATGTCCTGCCTAACTTAATTCATTAAGGTTAGCACTTTTGAGCATTAAAATTAATAGGGACGTTATTTAGTCTGCCTAGGAGAGTTCAACAGTTTCCCATTGCTCTTATGCTTTAGTCAGTAGGTTCTAAGCACCTCAAATTTTTGACTTTGAGAAAACTGTGATTTCTTTACCACATATTAAATTTGGTGCCATTAAAAGTTTAAAAAGGCATGATTCCAGCTGCGTTCATGCATGACACTTTCCAAAAACCCCATACATTTATTAGGGTAATATTAGACTCTTACTGACTGTGAAATGAAGCTGTCTAATTAACAGGGTTAAATTTCATCAGCCATGCAGACTGTTTTATCCTATATTTAGCCTTCAATTTTAGTTCTCAAATGGGTTTTTACTGACAGCATTATAAAAAAAATTTTTTTTAAATTCCTCATAGTCAATGAAAAGGGTCAGGGAGACTTCCCACTGGAGTTCCTGTGCTGTTTGGGCATTACTCAGAGATACTGTTGCAGGGCCTAAGTTAGGTGTTTTAAATCTCAATTTTAATGCTTTTGGGTTCCTGGTTGTAACATTTTATATCATACAATACCAATAAAGGGCTCGCGCTTGATTTAACAGGCCAGAACTTGGGCTCTTCTCCATCTTTCAATACCAATTTCCAAAAAGGGAGAAAAAAGTTTAATTTTTGCAGTGGTCTCCCTGTGTACATGTACTTTTATTTTTCTTTGAGGAGATTCTCTTGGTTGAAACTTCAACAGGAGGTTGGTTTTGAGACATTAATGACCAGCTAGACAAGTAAGGTGCTCATGGTGAATTATTGACCATGAAGTTATAAAACCAGAAAGAAAATACTGTTTAGTCTGTTGAAAAGTTTTAGTGTTGAATTGCTTGTTGCTATGGCTGCAATGTTCTGTTTGCAATGCTGGCTTTTTCCAATGCCCTTACCAGTAAAAGGTGGGAGGGATTTCGTGCAACTCGTGTTCTTAAGTGCAAAATCCAGTTTCTGACCTGAGAGTTTCGCTTATAACTGCTAAGTCTGCTAAGAGGATGGGTGGCCTTGTGTTTGCTACATCATTGCCCCCCTCACCTTCATTGCTCTGGGAAAACAAAACATTACAACTGGCTGAAGAAGGGGAATCCTCTCGCTTATAGAAATATTTTAACATCACCTTGAACCTTCCCTAATGTGGTATCAGATGAACCTTTGAAATGTGTTTATTTGCCTTACACATTTGTGGTCCTGACGTGGTTCTGAGCTCTTGGATGATTATATGTGTTCTTGTGTGTACATGTGTGTGCTTTAAAGCTTAATCATTCCTGTTGCTTTTTTGTGCGGAACAAGGAATGCAGCTCTTTTGCAGTTGTTGCTGTACAAGTCAAATGTCATTGCCAAAAGTTTGTTTTCTCAGCTTTTTGTTTTTACATTCCCACTTTTAAAACCTAGCAAAATGCAGTCTTGTTTTTTCCATCTTCTTTTGCAGAACTGTTTTCAAATTACCACACCACAAATTAGGAGTTCTATGCTTTTTTTCAGATGCTGTCCCCAGCTGCTATAATTTAACATAGTTCTGTTGACTTTCTACTAAAGCTTCACTGATTCGCAACAACTAAGCATCTGCTCTCTGTTAATCACTACTTTATGCTTTAAATAGATATTGCAAGACTTTACTGACACTGCAAATGTTTCTGTGTATCAGCTCTGCTGTAATGCCTAGATATATCATGGTAAACTGAAAATATGGGTTGTCCTTTCCTAGGTTTATCTGTTAGGACCTAACTTTGTTGTGTGTTCAGTTGCTTTTTTTGTCTCGTTATATCACATTAACATTGCACTGCTAATCTTTAAATGATTGTTTTATTACCGTAATTAAAATTACTTTTATGTAAATCATTTAGATGTTCCATATTTACATCATCTTGTAATGGTCTCTTGCTTTGTAATCAAAGACGATTTTCTTGGGATATTTGTGTTTGTCTGTGTGTTTGCTCCTGAAGCTATGAAAATGGCAAACAACATTCAGACCTGTGGCACCAAACATACCTCTTGCTGTGCTGTTCAGAGGCAGCCTGCATGTGGAAAGCAGGTCAATGGCTATGGCATTGCATTTCTGTGATTCAGGTGTGAAGGACAAGTTGGGCCTTTTTCAGGTTTGTCTTTTGCTAGTAGAAGGTAACAGAAGGAGATAGCTGTGCATCAGGGCACTGTGACCCCCTTCCCTTCTGGCTCCACCGCTGTCTGCGCTGTCTGTGTTTCAACAGATTTCACCTGTTAATGCCAAAGAACAGTTCTAGGATCTTCTTGGGAGACTGTTTCTACGTTTTGCCCCAGGAAAGCTTGTTTCATTTTTTTCTTTATTATTTGAAAGTATTTTTGATGGTGGTTCCTTCATTTTCAAAGACTTCTTTGGTTTGTGGGACAGTAACAGGAATTATTAAGGGTTTAGCATTTAAGAGAAGCAGATACTAGCTCTCTACAGGATGTACCTGGCTGTAGATCCCCCCTGGCTTGGCCACAGAAAAACCTGCACCTTTTTTCCATACTGCCTGAAAAAGTCTTTGGAGAGCAGTAGCATCCATGGGAGTCCTTGGTGCTGTCACCTGCCCAGACACTGCTGGGGCAGGAGCTCTGCTGCTGGCTCCACATGCTGCGGGGCTGGCCAGAGCAGTATTGGCACACCTCCCAGGGAACTCACACCTGGGACCTGCAACAGCGTGCAAGGGAGCGTTCCATCGTGTCGGCTCCATAAGATTTCTTCCGGAGTATGGACAGGAAAGCATTGATGGCTGTGTTTGAGTTTGAAAAGGTATTTGGAGCAGGAAGAAATCACTTAGATTGTCTTCCTACCATTTAGCCCTATTTCCTTCTTCATCATTCCTCATGTCTTCATTCTCTTGTAAGTTTTCTGTCCTTTTCCTGCCTTCTAAGTACTGCAATTCCTGCATGTGTGTTAGGGGGTTTTTTTTGTTGCTACCTCATCATCATAATTTTAGAGTATCATATACATAGGGTGGACAACTGTAACAAAGTCTTAAATAGATTTCAATAAACCAACTGTCCTTTTGGTGCAATTGAAGGGTGGCGGCCATTTGTTTGCTGCATTGATTTCCCCCCCACCCCCCCGCCCTGAGTGTTTACGAGCATAAGCCCTTGTTCAGGTTTGCAACATCTCCCAGCATCCCATGCTTAGTCCCACACAGTCTCATGAGTGCTGTTCCACAGGAACACAGTAGCCTCATGCACCAGTCTCTGAAACTTGGCCTTTAACCTTAAACCACTGAATACACTTGCCAAAGGCCTGGGCAGGAGCTGATGCTGTCATTTTGCAGCTCAGAGAGATGTCCAGCCCTTGCAAAGGATTTCAGGAAAGCTCCCCTTGATGTCAGTGAGAGCTAGTCACTGAAAAAAGATAGCAAATGTCCGCTTGTGCTGAGGTGACCAGCTTAGATAATTTTTTTTTTACAGTGAAAAAATTAGGAACCAGCAAGAGAATAATAAGAGAAACTAAGAGCAGTTTCTCCCACCCGACCTGCCAGTCGCAGAAATGAAATTCAAGGTGGCAGTGCTTTCCCAAATAGGACAGATGAGTTTAAGGAATCCTGTGACTAGCAACGAGTTTCACACACCATGCCCAAGAAGGTATGTCCATGGGACATCCTAGGTGGAATTTGCCTTCAAGAAGGCATAAAAGCTAGTAAAAAATGTACTCTGAATACAATCAGGTATTTCAAATTCTGAAATACAGGTACAGGGAGGCTTGCGTCTTTTTAGTGAGAGGACCCTAATGTGCAATACAAATGGTACCTCTCAGAAAGATCAATGTTTGCTAATTAAACACTATGTTACGAAGTGATACACTGTGTACCACTTCTAGGTTTTGCTTCTCTGACTTTTGGATAGGGTGTCTTTTCACTTTGGCAGGGTTTAGGCAACAGTGAAACATGGGAGTCGGGATGAATAATGCATAAAGCCTGGATTGCATGCACTGGAGTTGAT